TTACGTTAAGACAGTTGGCTGCCATTAGTTCCTATGAGACTTTTAATCCTAACTGTTCACCATAAACCTTTATGGTTTGGCAGTCTCCATAAGCTTAGATATGCTCCATTAAGAGCTCGATTGTTTCCAATTTTAACTTTCTCCATGATAGAAGTAAAACATGGACCAGGAAATATTGTTAAGTCATGGTGTCTTCTTTATTCTAACTTATCTTGTTTCTCCTCTTGTATTTACAGTAAACAGTAATTTTCAGGTTGCTATTCTCAACTTGTCAACTTCCCATAATGCCTTATTTTGAAATACGCCTGCTGTACTAAAAGGATATGCAATGACTCAATGTAGTAAACATTTATTGAGCATTTACTTCTCTCTGAGATGCTGGGCTAGCACTGAGTCTGTTGGGACAAATGGGGCATATTCCTTGCCACTGAGGTACTCAACCTAGGAGGTACAGAGAGAAGCATACAATGAAATTAAAAAAATGCAAATGTGGCAGGTGCTGTATTACTAATAAAGCTAAAGTACTGCTGTGACTCAGAGAAAGGAAAGGGTATTTCTGTCAAAATGGGGATAGAGAGACTGGAGTACTATATAGAGGAAGTGGCATTCATACTCCAGTAAATCTTTTATTTAGTCAGAGTTGATTTTCTATGTTTTCCAATATGTGAGCATGAATCTCTGTTGTATATTTTAGACCACAAAGGAAGGAAAAGTGGAGCTGAAATGTATGTAATAAAACAATAGACAAAGGTCTGCAAACCTTCATTGACTGCGTGATCGTGGGCAATTCCTTCGTCATTCTGGGCCTCAGTTTCTTCAACTGTAAAATGATGAATTTGGACTAAATGCCATCTTGGGTCTCTTTTAGCAGGGACGAGATGATCTCTAAAGCTTCTGCCAGCTCTGGAGTTTCAGAAAATGTTGTTTTGTTTTTTTGCATTCCCCCAACTTTTTTTAAACTCTGCTATGATTTTACTTTTTTCTTTTCCTTTATCTCATAGATTTTTCCTTATAATATTTCCTCTAATCTAAACTTTCATCATGATTAATCCTGTGAAGAAGTCAGAATGGGTAAATAGCTAATCAGAGTTACTAATATAGCATAGAAAGATGGCAGATTATCAAAAGGTATGGTTGGTCATTAAAATTTATAGTAGTTGATTTAAATCATAAGAAATTAACACTGCTTATAGAAAACTTAACCAACTTTTATTTTGTAGGATGGCAGTAATTTAACTGAAGTGAAACCCATTTCGGAGGTATGCAAAACCTTAGGATTAATAGTACCTTCAAATACATTAATATAATTTTCTCCTGC